GTTTCCCCATCGCAACACATGAACCTGCAATACTAATTTAATAAGCCCGTACAAAAGCTTTGAGCTGTTGATCCAATTGAGTCTTCGACGGATCCTCCTCATCTTTGATTCTTTGGTTGGAGCTGAAAACCGTCTCGATTCAGAACTGAAACACCTGTATGTGAGCTGTGTTACCTGCCAGAGGATTTGTAACTCGGTTCAGCCAACCTTGTGATCTAGAAACCACTGCCAGACAGCACCGCCTGGTCCCTGACCTTTGCTGCAGTTGTTAAAGCTGAACTCCGGGATGAACAAATGATGTCTTCATAGAAGAGTCCTGTGTATTCTTCTGGAATCTTGGTGAGCTTTGTGTATTTCTTCCAGTTCTGTGCAGTAATCCAGTGTGAGACTTGGAGCTTCTTATAATACAGACTGGCCACTGCTGCTCTCTCTCCTTGTGCAGGGTGACTGTTCTTGTCTCTGCCCCCTCTTATAATAAAGACCGGTCACTGCTACTTTCTCTCCTTGTGCAGGGTGACTGGTCTTGTCTCCGCCCCCTCCTGTAATAAAGACAGCTCACTACTGCTCTCTCTCTCTCTGTGCAAGGTGACTGGTCTTGTCTCCGCCCCCTCCTGTAATAAATACTGGTCAATGTTGCTCTTTCTCCTTTGACTGGTCTTGTCTCCGCCCCCTCATGTAATAAAGACCATTCACTGCTGCTCTCTCTCCTTGTGCAGGGTGACTGGTCTGTTCTCCCCCTGCAAGCAGGCAGCCTGTAGTGGGTGGGGCCTGCTTAGCCGCTCCCAGATCTCTGCTTTCTGCACAGGCTATGTACAGCACAGTTATGATGTCATCACAGCTCGCTACATACTTTACAACTGATTGTTGTCTGGGAAGATAAAAACAAAACACCAATTCATGCACCTATATGTTCATTAATAACCATTCAATAATTATTATTGATTAATTACAAAATATTGATTAATCATTTTATTGCAACTTGATTTAAATCCTTTGTGTGCAAATGAATTGGCAGAGGGAAGGGTGTCACTAAGTTTACAGAGAACAGAAAGCAGAGTGAGCAGAGGGATGACCTCATCAGTCTGGTGCTGCTCCTTCACTGTCTAATGAAAGGCCTGGGGGGTGGGTAGGTGACCCAACTGTAT